ACAGCTGGTTACCGACACTCAGGAGAAAACTGAACTCCCGAATGACTACTTTGCTTTGGTATTTCATCGGACTAAGAGGAAAATCATGCTAGATTGGATACAGAATGGGCGTGGTGGGAATGACTGCCTTCCTACACTTGATGTTGAACTGGTGCGTGATCAGTTAGAAAAGTTAGACATCTATAAGTCAGCAGGACTGGATGAACTTCATCCGAGAGTGCTGAAGGAACTGGCTGAAGTCATCACGGGACCTCTGGCGAAACTCTTCCAAAACCCATGGCACTTGGGGGAGGTCCCTGAAGACTGGAAGAGGGCCAATGTTGTGCCCATCTTCAAGAAGGGGAGGAGAGAAGAACCAGGAAACTATAGGTTAGTTAGCTTAACTTCTATCCCAGGAAAAATCCTGGAAAAATTCATCAAGGAGTCTATGTGCAATAGGCTTGAAGAAGATAGGATTCTGAATGACAGCCAGCATGGGTTCATCATGGCCAGGTCTTGTCTTACCAACCTCACCTTCTACAACCAAGTAGCTCGCCACCTGGATAAGAGAGAGGAGGTCGACACTGTATACCTAGACAGCCAAAAGCCTTTGATCTGGTATCCTATGATGGTCTCATGGGAAAATTGGAGGATTGTGGGCTTAACTGCTCAACAGTTAGGTGGGTCAGGGGTGGCACCAGGGTCTTTCTGGTGGAGGGGTTGGGCCAGGGCTGCACTTGGGGTGGGTGGCAGTGGCACTAGGAGTAGAGCTAGTAGGACAGGTGCTGTGTCACCAGCAGTTTTTATTTTATAAATCAGTTGTTGTGACTTCCAGAATTGAACATTATCCACACTAATTGAGAGGAGTAACTGCTGAGGCTTTGAAAGAAATCCTAAATTTTGTTCCATGTGTAGCTTTTTCACATACAGTAGGCATCTTTGCACGTGCATTTATACCAGCTTAAATTCTCTGCGCAGTAAATTACTGTGCAATAAACAGGAATAGGCTGGCATCTACACATGCAGGTATTAAAGTGCATTAATGCTGTGTGTGGACTGACTTGGGACAAAAGATAGTCCTAAGTCAGTCCACACACACAGTGTTACTGTGCAGTGAGGTGTCTACGTGTGTTACTGTGCAGTAACTAATCGGGTGTAAATTTGATACCTGCATGATGCAGGTATCAAATTTACACTCAAGTCAGTGTAAGTCACCATATTTACCGCACAGCACGGGGGTGCACGTGTAGACGCGTGCCTGTACTGCACAGTAATTTCAGGTACTGCGCAGTAAACGGGCACATGTCGACATGCCCAGTAGGTGATGCTATAGTTACAGTGCAGCAGTCTTTGAAAAAGATTGCCAAGAAGTTTGGATTACAGTAAGGGTGCCAGGTACATCCTAAATCACAAGGAATTCTTAAAAGACTCACTAACGTTTGTACCTGGAAACAATGAACAGCTCACAAACAGCTGATGATTATTTTAAGTCAGTAAGAAGTAGATCATTATTGCAGAAACTAATTCCTGTTTTCACATAGAAAGCTCAGTTCTGTTTTCCTTTACACCCCATCAGCTTCAGGGAATTTGTAAAACATGTAAGTGACAGCAGATTTGGGCCTATTACTGATACCAGCCTTGTATATTATACTTCTCATTTTAATCATAGAGTGCCAAGTGCTATAGTTAAGCTAAAAGTTCCATGAGAAACTCTGAATAGATTTTTTTAGATGTAGAAGAACCAGTGGATCTTTAAGGAGAACTCATGGCTGAAGATATAACTATATTCATGCTAAAAAGTCTTTCAAATATCATTACTCTGCCACTACAGTTCCCCTACTGTAGAAGAAAAACAAACTTGGGGAAGCTTCAAGGAACAGACATTTAAAGATGTTCTTAAAGTCCTCACTAAGGGAGAGTCCATACTTTTATTCACATATAAGAGCCTAGGCTGCATACAGACATTTGGGGAGGTTAGATCAAGTTAAAAATGGCCACCCAATCTAAGGGGTGGGGGTGGGCGGCTAGCCAGGAATGGAGGGTTGAGGAGATGGGGGAACAATTTACTGTTTTAATTTGCATCGTGGAAACCACTGCAGCCTTTCTTTGTCCCCCAGGTCAGAGAGGAATAGAAGTAGTTTATAGGCACCTGTACAAGTCATCTAACCCAATTTCTATGGGGTTTAAGGAGAAAACCTAAAATTTTCAGTGGCAAGGCTATTTGGTATTTGCTTTCTGGCTGCTGCCATTGTCCATTTACTTTACACCATCTTATTACCTTTTCACTTTTTCTGCTACTCATATTCTTCCACCTGACAAAGTAGGCTGTCACCCGAGAAAGCTCATAGCTCTCTGGACCAGTTAGTCTTCACATTGCAACCCTACCCTGCCTTCTGCCAGACTACAGCCTACAGACTAACATGGCTAACTGCCTCTCTTTACTCTTCCATCTGTAATTTCCACCACCTTGTGCCAACACACAATATCTGGGACTTGATCCCTTCTGCTTTCTGCCACCTGTGCTGAGCAACTGAAATATTATCACATCAAAATCCTGACATTGCAAACACACTTTGTAGATGGGTAAAGCTCCATCCCTGAACCTGAGCGTGCACAATCACAGTCACACCCAGCACAGTCAGTGGCAAAGGTCTGTTCCTAAACAGTAACTCCGAGTATAAAACAGGCAAATGTAAGGTCCTCAGTGGACAACTACATCAGCGGTGTAACTGGTAACATTTGCACCCTGAGCAGAACACTTGTACCTACGGTGCTGGAATGGAGGCAGGGGCTTGAGCAAGGGGCAGATCCATGGGTGGTGGGGGGGTTGCACTGATGCACTTGCACCTCCCTTTGATTCCTGCTCCACCCAAAATGTAAAACTAACTTCCTGCCAGTGACAGCAGCATTTCTAGTCAGGCATTCTGAGGAAGTCATTTGATTTCATGGCTCATTATCATCTACCTGATTCCTTCTTCATTCCACAGGTGTTGACCTCCTTTTTACTGGTCTCAGTTTTCCACCAAGCAAACTAACCTTTATTCTGCAGTTCTGCTGTTAGCTGCTCCTAGTAATAAAGCTCCTATTTCACAGCCCTCCAGCTTATTTTTAACTCATTCCAATGAAATTATATTTGTTTTTGCATCAGTGCAGGAGCACACACCAACTGCAGGTGCTTCCTCAGCCTGACGAAGAGTACTGTATTTATACCCGAAAGCTTGCTAAGGAGAATTTGCCCAACTATTTGAGTTGGTCTAATAAAAGATATCAGATTTAACCAAAGAACCTTGTCTGCCTATGTTCTTAGACTAACACAGCTACAAATCTATACCTTAGGACCCTAGCATATTATTGAAGTTTCTAGTTTATTTTTAACTGGAGAAAAATATGTGCTATTTCATGTGTGATAATGCACCTGATCATCTGTACCCCCTTTTCAAAATTCTTGATGCACTTATGGGCTTGAGGGTCCGGACATGTAGAAAGGAGCAGGGGCAGAGTGCTGCTGCGAAGGGAGGCATGGCCAACAGCCAAGTTAACTGTCTGATGACCCTACAGCTACCATGGATTTATGTGCTGAACAATGGTGCAAAACCCTATTAATTCACCTGTAGTTCTGCTGCAGGGGTAGGAAAGAGTTGGGCTGGGAAGGGAGGGTGAGCCCGAGGAAGAGACTCCTACCCCTGCTTCACTTCATGTAGTCAGAGCTTTGAGACCCCCCTGTCTCCATTCCAGCACCCTGTTTACCAAGCCTGCAGGGTTTGTACTCCAGCTGCCCACCCTTAATTATGCTACTAACTTCCACTACCATTTACTGTGTCCAGGAGGAGAAGAGAAATAGTTCTGATGATTCCAGTAAAAGATGAGCTCTGGGCCCCATCTGCTCATTTGGTCTTATTTTTAAAAAGGCAGACAAGTTTTATTATTTCAATGTGGAAATGAAGCATCACTAAAACTAGACAAGTTACCCATAAAGACAACAAAGGCAGGTGGACCTGAAGGGAGAGAGCCTTAACTTCAGCAAAATGAATAACCCTTCAGTGAAAGGACCTGCAGAGGAAGCTTGTATATTTGACTTTGAGAATATTCAGAGAAGCCAGTTGTTCCTTGTAGAAATCTAGGCTGGCAATATACAGGAGTTACTGTGATTTAATAAATCCGCATTTTTAAAACCAGGGACATTTACTACAAATGTTGAGGAGATGAAAGGAGAGGGACTCTGCTGCAAAGGTCAGTGCAAATTTTCAAGCAATTCAGAAAAGATTACAGTATTTTGAACATAAATTTAAAGGCCTGGAAAACTGATCACGATACAGTCTTCCAGATAAGAAGCAGCTCTGTGGAAACTGAAGTGGGGAAAAGAAGATTGGATTTGTAACCTGTCTGATTACTGAAGAGATGATAGGAAAGTGCCTTCCTACAAAGACAGGGAGTTGAAAGAATGTACTGTCTGTGTGCCACCAAGATGGGAATGATGAAATAAAGAAAATGTATTGGAATATGGTGGGAAGCCTTCATGAAGGTGAAGGGAAATTCACCTGGGAACAATATTCCCTCTTCCAAAATAAGTTTTGGAAACAATCAGAGAAAGAAGGATAGAACCTGTTTTTTCCCTTGATTTGCAGTGGGCTTTGAATGAAGCCGTTCGAAAGCTAATAAATACCCTGAAAGAGAAAGAAGTAAAAACTGTTCCTCAAATTAGCCTTGCTTCTTGTTTGATCAAGGCAAATTTATGCTATGCAGAATAATCCTTATGGATTTAGACTCCTTTTCTTGACTACAGAATGCCTGTGAACCAATGCAAGTTTTCTTTAAAATGTGTGCATGCCTGGTCATGTTCTTAGTTGTCGTAAATCAAAGTAGCTCATTTGAAGCCAAGTTCTAGTCTGTTTACATCACTTGGGAAGCCAGGTCTGGAATTTGTTAATATTTGCATGGTAATTTAAGCCAGTTTCTGACTATGGGCCGCACAAGAACATTACCACATTCTTCCAGACATTCTCTCTCTTTTTTTTTTCTAGGCTTCTGAAAAAAGAAGAAAATTTTATCTTTATTCCTCGGTCCCGTGAAGAGCTTCCAGATAACTTTCCAAAGGAAATTCCTGGGATCTGTTACTTCCTGGAGGTCAGAAGTGGTCAGAAGCAGCCAAAGCCTTCCATCACATCTGCCAGAGTGAGAAAGGTTTCTTACAACATTGGCACTATGTTCCTTCGGGAGACTAGCCTATGAGGCCTGCTACAGATCAAAGACTCGTCAAAAAAGCACAAGCCCAGAACTGGGTCATGACAGGAGAGTTGGAGATTCTTTCTGTTTCACTGCCTTGTTCTGAACAAGCAGGAAAAGCTTGGTGTAATGTGAGGCAATAATTATTTTAAAAGGTGGGTGACTGCTGTCATTAAACAACCTGGAAAGAGGGACAAAAAGAAACAAAATACTTCCATTTCCTGAGGAATTATTGGTCATAAATTTAAATCTGGCCCTTAACAAAAAACCACACACATACTCAAACCAAAATGAATATTTGAGCTTGATTTTTTTCTCTACAGAAATAGGAGGTGGTTCTCTGTAGATTTGCACCAGCTAAGCAGAATTGAGAGTCAGTTCTGATTATGCATTCCTACATTTAATGTGTTATTCAGTAAGGTAACAATGTTTTTTAACTTTATGAGCAAACATTTCATACATATACTGTAGAGTTGCTGTAACCTTCCTGACAGGAGGAATTATAATTCAGTACAATATTGTAGGGATTTTACCTATTTTTATACATATTTCACTTTCTGAACAATTACATTCAACACACTGTAAAATGAGTGAGCTTAGTCAGCTTTACAGAATAATCTACTGTATATTTCATGTACTCTATCAGAGCGTATTGTTATACACATGGTAAGAAGTCATTTTTTGACTTTTGGCAACAAAGATACCAATATTTTGCAAAAGAAAAAATAATACTTTGGTAAATTTCCTTCCCCGATATGCAAGTTTTAGATGAGCACTATCTTACATATATGAATGATGTTTGATCTTTGTCCTACTAGTGATGTGTGTCCAATCTTTTCAGGACAATGAAAACCAAGGCTAAAAGGTCAATGTCTTGATCGATAGAAAAAAGACTCTTGCACACGATGGACCATATCTCATACCATCAGGTTTTATATAGAAGTAACCAGTGGAGTCTTTTATTTAAAAACTGCTGGTATGTTGTAGCATATTAAAAAAACTCTCCAAAACACATTTGAAAATCTACAGATGGGGGTTTTTTATTCACTTTTAATAGGGCTTGTATTCATAAGCCACTTAAGAGGTTTTGAAAATCCCATACATTATTACTGATATTACTCTGGCAGTTAAATCTGTTGCTGGAGTGGCTGTAATGCCCTTGCTTTATCTAGTGTAGAATAAACAAAAGACACTTTTTAGCCAGAAGAAAAGAAATAAAAAAGGAAAAATTCTTACCTAAGCATAATGCAAATAGTTTTTCAAAATTCAGATTAATCAAGGTCTATCAAAATTAAAGACCAATTCTCATCTGGTGAAAATTGACATCTCTTTATTTTCTTCAGTAGATTTATGCCAGTTTGCAACTGATGAGGATCTGCTCTTAGCAAAACCACAGCTTCAGATAGATTTTATTTCTCTGGTTTCACCCTTTTCCTTGGGTTTCCTTTTCTATCAGCAAAGACTGTACAATTACTTATGCAATTCCTAACCCAGAGTGGGAGGGGGGTCATACCCACTTAGACCAACATAGTTCTACTCTTATGGAAAAGAGTTTATTAGCTGATGTTTGTCCAGTGCTTCCGGAGAGATATAGCTCTATATGGACGAGATCCAAAGTCTACTACAATCAGAGAAAAGACTCAGTTTTACTGGGAGCTTGCTGAATGTTTTCCTCTTTTTAAAAATCAGATCAGTTATTTGGGTGCTTATGTATGGACTTTAGGTCCTAACTGAAAGTTCCCATTATAACAACCCCACCCCCAACCAAAACATAAATATGGTCTTTTGGCCAAATGATCTTGTTAAATTTTGCTGGGAAGGACATGTAAAAGCTGAAAACTGACTCCTTTGACCAACATGCTGTGGTAGGATTCAATGAGTCAGCACATTGTCACCCCCGACTCTGCAGAACATATAGAGTCTGCAGTTTCTGGTAAGGATGACTAGGTGAAGAAGAGGTAATTTTGCGGATTTTCTTTATGTGAGATGCACCTGATTTTGTTATGAGAGTCTCTCACTGCCTTAGAAGAGAAGGGGCCTGGGAACTAGCACTAAGAATTGTTTAAATGTGAATGTCCCAGCCTTCTGAAAGTACACTAAGCTTACTGGTTTTTCCCATGAATCTCAGAGCATTCTTAGGTTCAGAGGTTCAGATGTCTGTCTTCCATCCACTGTACTGGGAAGTAATTGCAAGCTTTTTGCCCTTCTTCCCATTCAAAGGTTAGCTTGGTGAAAACCCTTTCGTTTAAGGCTGCAGAGTTTTCACACAAATTGCAGATACCCCATGGCTTTCTACATAGGAGTGGATACTTTAGCTTATAGTCATCAGTTTACACATGTACAGTATGTAAAGTACATTCATTTTTCAGTGAAAATTAATGATGTATAGTAGAGCTGCAGATGAAGACATGGTCCAATTTACCTACCCCACCTCCAGTCCAGTACGGCTGAGGCTGTGCTGTTGCTGCCTAATCCAAACAATTATAGCAGCCAGTCATATGTATGTATTGAATTCCTAACCTCTGAAAACATTACTGGCATACCTTTACTCTACAGTAGTTTGATCTAAAGTTATCTTATCCCACTGGCCACATCTACATGAATTGTTGACTGCACAGTAGCCCACAACTACTGTGCAGTAGCATCACATGGCAGCAACTATAATATGATAATACTGCACAGTAGTCTCGGGCAGTTGTTGCCATGTGACACTACTGCACAGTAGTCTTAGGCTACTGAGTAGTCAGCATTACAGAAAACCTGTGCATCAACACTACTTAGGTTACTGCGCAGTCATTTAGTACTTTTTTATACAGTATCTGCTGTCTTGTGTATAAATGAGTACTAAATGACTGTGCAGTAATGACTATGCAGTCAGCATCACGTGTAGATGCGGCCATTATCTCCCTCATAATGCACAGTTCTTAGTTTATTTGATCATAGTATTTCTACAGAAAAGATATATGGGTAGGTAATCTTGGAGATCAGTGCAAAAACTAAGAATTGTTGCTAGCATCACCAAATAAATTAGCCAGCTCTCCAAATCAGCGCAGATTCACTGTACAAGAATATACAGGCTCCACTTTTATTTAAGCTTCCATAAAGTTGCCATGCCCAAAATATCAGTAGTTATGCAAAGTGAGCATTGTTTATTTGTGTAATGGTGTGTAAACTTGATTTAAAAAAACTGCTGTCCCTAGGAAAAATTCCCTGGCTCCATGTGAGAGAAAAGTATAAACATGTTTTCAACACTATTAAACTTATTATTTGTACCTGCTGTAATCATGCAAGTATATTGTTGACTCATCTATACAGTGAAGGAATTTTTTTTAGCCAGAGAAGTGGTGTGAATACAGCAAGATTCGAGTAAGATATTAGATTTCTCCAATGATGGCTCCTGTTGGTAAAAGAAAAACCCTTCTCTATGAAGTTTGCATTCTATGTGTGAATGATTTTCCCTGCAGGAGTTGACTTTGGGTTCCCAGACTGCATATGCAAGGGGTAGCTGGAAAAGAGTGTATTTCTGTGCAGTGATTAAATAAGCGCAGAATTCAAATATTGGTTTTGGAACTTCCCTTCTACCTGTACAGTAAATGTTCTTTGCATGGACAGGGACTAGGAGTTGTGTAACAATTACTTTGCTTAACTATAAGTAGCAGTATCTGCTGTCTTGAGCTTCCACAAAGACAAAATCCATCCTCCTTGAAGGTGCTGCATACAGAGAAATGTAAGGGAAAGGCTATATAGGCCATTAGAATACACATGACACAAACTGGCGGTATTGGCTTTCCCTCTGCTTCAGAACAGGGGACATTGGGGTAAAGACAACGAATTTACTACATGAGAGGAATCATCACAAAGGCTAAATAATCATGAGGGAGTTGGATTTTTCCTTCCATTTGAACCTCCCAATAGCTCATGCTCTTCAGTGAAATTACATGGAAAGAGTCCAAGAACTGGGCCATAAGGCAAGAAGAAAATAGTAGTAGAGAAAGTAGAATGTTGGCAAAAGTTAGATTCCCAGTCCCTGTAGTGATAGCTGCCATACGTAGCCACAGGCTCTGACATCAGAGAATTACTGCTGTGTCATAACTCTGGATCCAGGTGTGCAGCCACATACATTCCCCAGGGGACAAGCAGTAACAGCACACATATGGTGCCACTGCTGTTTGTCCCTGGGGAATGCCTGCGCATATGTGCTCTAGTGTGTGGCAGGTTGCTTTGGTGGGGGGGAGGGGAGGCTGGGACCAGCACTTGGCCTGGCCCCAGCAGCCTTACCTGGGATCCTGGGGGCCTCCCAGTTCTCCAGCACTGGTGATCTGGCAGCAGGGAGCCTGGCCAGCAGCTGGAGCATGGCTTCAGTCAACCAGGCTCCAATTTTGGGTGGTTTACGCTACAGCCACATGTATCACCCCCCCCCCCCCCCCCCCTTT